GGTTGGCTTCGGATTATGAGAAATTGTTTTTAAAATATAAAAATGATGTTTCAAAATTGAAAAATGATAACAAACTCATATCCAAAACCAACAACGATCTTGAAAGTAAAATCAAAGATTTGCAAATAAAACTAGAAGAGTTTGAAAAGAAAATTTTGGATTTGCAAAATTTACTTTCAAAGGTCAATGATGATCATCAAAAGAAAATTGATGATCTTAAAACTTCTTTTGATAAAGTTAGAACAAAACGTTTTGAAAAAGAAAAAAATTCAAAATCCAACTTTGTTAGAAAATATTTTAAAAACTACAATCATAGAGGTCCCAAAAGAACCTCTAATGGAAAAATCGTTAGAAGTATGTGGGTTCCTAAAGAACTCATTACTACTAAAGATAAAGATATCCTACACAAATGGATACCTAAGGGGACTAGGATTTTGGAAACTAATGAATATGGACTCAAAAGAATTTGGGTACCAAAAATAAAAAATTAATCTATGTTTGTAGGGAAAGGAGCATTGCTACAAGGCACATGAAACAAATTCAAATTCATGGTACCTTGATAGTGGATGCTCGAGACACATGACCGGGGACAAAAAATCGATTCATAGAGCTTAACGCCAAAAATGGAGGAGAAGTGACTTTTGGTGATAATTCAAAAGGTCACATTGAAGGTATAGGTACAATAGATAATACCTCTTCCATTCAAATTAAAAATGTTTTATATGTGAATGGATTAAAGCATAATCTTTTGAGTATTAGTCAATTTTGTGATAAAGGATTCAATGTCATGTTTGAAACTAATGGTTGTAAAGTTATTGACATTGCATCTAATCAGATTATGCTTATTGGTCATAGAATAGAAAACATTTACATGGTGCATTTAGATTCTATTAATGTGACTAATTTATGCCTAGTTGCAAAAGATGAGCATGATAGTTGGTTGTGGCATAAGAGACTAGGACATGCTAGCATGAGTGTTTTGACGGTTAGTTCAAGGAGAATTGGTTCGAGGGATGCCTAAACTAAAATTTGATAATGATAAAATCTGTGATGCTTGTGCTAAAGGAAAACAAAAGCGAGTTTCTTTTAAATCCATTAATGATGTGTCAACTAGTAGAGTATTACAATTGATCCACTTAGATCTTTTTGGGCCATCTAGAACTACTAACTTGGGTGGAAAACAATATGCATTTGTCTTGGTAGATGACTATTCTAGATATACTTGGGTTCTATTCTTAAGTACTAAAGATGAAGCATTAGAAAAATTCATCACATTTTAAAAGTAATCCAAAATGAAAAAGGTTACTCTATAACTAGTGTTAGGAGTGATCATGGAACTGAGTTTGAAAATCTTGGATTTACTGAGTTTTGTAATTCTAATGGTATTAGCCATAATTGTTTAGCACCTAGAACCCTCAACAAAAATGGAGTTGTTGAGAGGAAAAATCGAACTTTAGAAGAAATGACTAGAACCATGCTTTATGAAAGCAATTTGCCAAAGTATTTTTGGGTGGAAGCCACAAATATCGTTTGTTATGTTATTAATCGAGTAATGATTAGACCTATTTTAAAGAAAACTCCATATGAACTTTTCAAAAATAAAAAGCCTAACATTAGTTATTTTCATCCTTTTGGATGTAAGTGTTTTGTTTTAAACAATGGTAAAGACAATCTTGGCAAATTTGATGCTAAAAGTGATGAAGGAATTTTTCTGGGTTATTCCTTAAATTCTAAATCTTATCAAGTATTTAATAAAAGAACTTTGGTTATAGAAGAGTATATACATGTTGTTTTCGATGATAATCTCCTTCTGAGGAAGGATTCTTGTTTGAATGATGATGTAGGTATTATAAATACAAATGACGTTAGACATGACGTTGGAGAATCATCATCAAAGGAAGAAACGAAAGATGAGGAAACTCATGATCCTCTCGAGAATCCAACCATTGAAGAAAGAGAAGTATCTTATCCAATAGAGTACAACTATGTCAAGGATGGTGAGATTATAGGTGATCCATCCAAAGGGGTAACAACTTGATCTTCTCTTAGAAATATTTGTAATTATGTTGCATTTATCTCATGCATAGAGCCTAAGAATATTAAAGAAGCATTAAATGATGAACATTGAATTATGGCTATGCAAGAAGAGTTAAATAATTTGAGAGAAGTAAAGTATGGAAATTAGTTGAAAGGCCTAGTAATAAATCTACTGTAGGTACTAGATGGGTATTTTAGGAATAAGCTTGATGAGAGTGGTAATATAGTGAGAAACAAGGCTAGACTTGTTGCTCAAGGGTATACTCAAGAAGAGGGCATAGACTATGATGAAACATACGATCCCGTAGCTAGGATGGAAGCAATTAGAATGTTATTAGCATTTGCATGTTTTCATGAATTTAAATTATATCAAATGGATGTTAAAAGTGCATTTTAAATGGTTTTATAAAAGAAGAAGTGTATGTGGAACAACCTCTAGGTTTTGAAGAATCAAAATTTCTGGATCATGTTCTTAAATTTACAAAAGCACTTTATGGTTTAAAACAAGCTCCTAGAACTTGGTATGAAAGATTGTCAAACTTTTTAATTGAAAAAGGTTTTTCAAAAGGGAAGGTTGATACTACATTGTTTTTAAAGCATAAAGGTAAAGATTTATTAGTAGTTCAAATTTATGTTGATGATATAATATTTGGTTCTACTAATGATGTTCTTTGCCAAGAATTTTCTAAGCTAATGCAAAGCGAAATTGAAATGAGCATGATGGGGGAGCTCTAATTTTTCTTGGGACTCCAAATCAAGCAAATAAAAGATGGCATCTTCATCAATCAAGCTAAGTACGTCAAAGATATGCTCAAGAAATTTGGACTGGAAAATAGAAAGCCTCATGACACTCCAATGAGCTCTTCAATAAAGCTTGACTTAGATGAAGGAGGTAAATGTGTAGATGTTAAATTATATAGGTCAATGATTGGATCTTTACTTTATCTAACTGCAAGTAGACCGTACATTATGTTTATTGTTTTCTTATGTGCTAGATTTCAATCATCCCCTAAGGAATCACATTTACTAGCTGTTAAGAGAATCTTTAGATACCTTAAGGACACTCCTAGTTTAGGACTTTGGTATCCTAGAGACTCTAGCTTTAGCTTGCATGCCTTTTCTGATGCGGATTATGGAGGATGCAAATTAGATAGGAAAAACACCTCCGGTACTTGCCAATTCCTTGGAAATATGTTGATTTCTTGGTTTTCAAAGAAACAAAATTGTGTTGCATTATCTACCACTGAAGCGGAATACATTTCAACCGGTAGTTGTTGTGCACAAGTTTTATGGATGAAACAACAACTTTTTGATTATGGAATTGAAGTAGGTACTATTCCTATCAAGTGTGACAATACTAGTGCTATTTGTCTCACTAAAAATCCCATCCAACACTCTAGAACTAAGCACATTGAAAGAAGACATCACTTCATTAGATACCATGTCACTAAGGAAGATGTAGTTCTAGAATTTGTTGATACTTCGTATCAATTAGCGGATATATTTACAAAGCCTTTAGACAAGGAAAGATTTTGGACACTTAGGAGAGAATTAGGTTTGACCAACCTATATTCACTTAGTGTTTAAAATAATTTTAGTACTTTTAAGAATAAATGAAAAATGCATATAATAATAATTTTTTTTATTACATATATTGCTTTTATTTAGGGGGAGTTTATGATTTTTGGTGAAAATTAATTTTATGTTCAAATAATTTTTAATGATAAATTTGATTGATTGAACATGATTAATTTTCAATATATGAGTTGCCAATACCACTAGAGAAAATTAATTTAGCATTTTGAGTATTTAAAAATCAAATTTTAGTATTTTAGTGCAGAGGGAATCGATACCCCTCTTGAAGGGGAACTGATTCCCCTTTTGATGGGGAACCAATTCCCCCTGTAGGGAAATCAATACCCCCCTGAGGTTCTGTTTTTTAACACGGATAGAACACCCAATAACTCAAACCCTCTTTTCTTCTCTTCACACCGTTTCTCCTCTCTACACTCAACCTATCTCCATATTTCATCAAAACATCATTTTTAATCAGAATTCTATTCAAATATCATCTCCTTAACCTGTTGGAATCATAAAAAACGTGCAAACTTCATCTAATCTCACTCAAATCTGAAATTCTTCAAGGTATTATTCTAAAACCTCTATTTCATAAATTTTTGATTTTAGAACTAGTTTTAATTAGTTCTAGGTTGAACTTTAGATCGGGCATTGATTGTTTAGTGATTAGAAACTAGATTTTACAACTAATTTAATAAAAAACACAAGAATTTTCCAAAATTCTTTGAAATTTTCAAAATAAAAAAAAATTGTTTTTCAAATTATTGTGTTTTGATTGAATTACGTTGTTGTTATGAAAACTATACATATATTGATTTTCAAAACCTTATTTTTGAATAAGTTTTTTTTTAAAAACTTTGCCCATTAGGATTGGTTTAGAGAACCTTGAAATATTGAGGACTCAATTGAGTTTTGGGATTGATTATTTTGCATACATATGTTTTTAAAAATACAGGTTATCTTTCCATTCCGATTATCTTAAACCATGTCTCATAAACATTCTAGGGCCTCCTCTAGTCGTTCTAGCCAACCTCCAAATCCTCCACCTATCCCACAAATTCCTATTCCTAATCCCGATGATCCAAACATGACCATTCACAATTCTTGTTTCAATGAACCCGGTCGTAAACAAAATCTGTACTATAGGTTTTGTCAATACTTTGAGTCCTACAAAATCCAGGAAGAACGTATCCCATATCTTCAAGCCATGCTAGACATCAATTTTTATCATCTTTCTACTCTTCATGAGTGGAAATTTGACAAACTCTTTGAGCTTGAACCAATTGTATACCATCAACTTGTTCGTATCTTCTACTCTAATGTCGTTTGCATTAAAAACTGAGAGGAAACCTTAACCATAGGGATCCGATCCTATCTTCTTGGACAATTCTTTCATCTTGACTCATAATCCATTTTCAAATCATTAGGATTAGATAATGAAGGGTTAGAAAATGAAAAACTTACGGTAGGATCTCAGTATAAACGAAGGGATAGTGCAAGTGTTCTAGACCTTCATGACCGTTTTCTTCACCTAATGATCTCTTGGTGGTTTCGACCATCCGGGGGCCATTACTCTACTCTTCGCACCTTATATCTATTTTGGCTTCATTGTGTCCAAAATAATCACAAAATTAACCTTCCACAGATTATTTTTGCTGAACTTGTCAAAACCATAAATCTTGTTCCCAATAAGAAATTGTGTTCTTCTTTAGTTTACGGTTGTATCCTTAGTAATCTGTTTAAGAAGGTTGGGCTTAGAGTTTGTCTTGATGCTTCCTTTCCCCTCAAAAACCAAATCAATCTATTCTCTTTAACTAAATCGAGATGGAAGATCAATGAAGAAACTGGTCTTTGGGTTCGTACCGGTGAGCAACCGCATGAAGTTGATGACTCCGACAATGAACCAGAACAGCACGACGAACAAGCACGAGCAGTGGAACAAGCACAGCCAGAGGATCAAATGCCTCCATATTTTTGATCCTTTATGGAGACATTTGATTTCTAATATGCTTCCATGGATTCTCGCTTCACTTCCATAGAATCTCATTTATCCACAATAGGAGCTCAACAATTGGAAATTCTCCGGGAGATGCACACAAACAACGCTTCTATGAATGAACGCATTGATGCACTCTCACATGAGATGGCCGCTATGCGAGCTCATTTTCCTCCTCCCGATCCTCCTACGGATGCTTGATTCTGTGTTATGCTTTAGTACTTTGAACTTAAAGCTTATTGTTTCAACATTTTGAATGTTTTTGGATTGTTTTTTCTTTGGTTGTTGGATATTTGAACTAACTTGATGAATTATGTATGTTTGAACTTATATTTCTATATATTTGGTTTGGTTAAATTTATTCATTATTGCATCATTTACATCAATTAGATATATGACCAATTTTGCCATGTCACATTGTTTATGAATATTGATTATGAAACTAATGGCTACCGTTTCTCTTGATTGTGATCTTAGCAGCTTAAGCTATTTATCTATATATAATCAGTTGGCTGAATGATTTCAAAACCTTGTTTAATATCTTTTAAAAGTCTTTTTGATTTAACAAAAAGGGGGAGAAATAAGTGTTTTAAAGGGGAGAAGTGTTAGAGTAAGGGGGAGTAATTTCAAACTTGATAAAATCTTAAAATTACTAAAATGTTTTGTTATATCAAAAAGGGGGAGATTGTTGAAAACATTTTGATATTTCGATATAACAAATTAAGCTAAATGAATTTTAAGATTTTCCAAAAAGATTTTCTAAGTATATTCGATAGAATTATTCGAATATCAAAATATTACTCCAAATCTTTCAAATGTCATTTTTAATCCTTACTCAAGTGTAAAATTAAGTTTTAATCTTGAAATAATTTCAAAACAATTTTACAAAATATTTCGAACCATTTCAAAGCCAAAAATTCTAGATTGCTCAGAGGGAACCGATTCCCCCCCAAGGGGGTACCGATTCCCCCTGAATGGTTTGGCTCCGAGAAAAACAGAATGCTCAGAGGGAACCGATTCCCCCCTGTTTAACGGTCGAAATATTTGAATTTTACACTTAGGGAACCGATTCCCCCTACGTTCCAAGCAGAAATATTAATTATTTTCACACTTAAACGGCTCCAATAACTTCATTAATGATCCCCAACGTTTAGATGTGATTCAAGGTGTATTTAAACAAGCTTAGAAGCCATTGATCAATAACAAGAAACAACAAGCAACTAGAATCAAGAGAGAATCAAAGAGAAAGCATCAAACCTCAAGTTTGAGCATTTCAAGCCTATTTTTCATTCAATATTCATTTTGCTTTCAAGAACACTACCTGTACTCAATTGTATTTATTCTTAAGTGTTCTTTTCTTTGTTCTAGAATTGTGCAAACAATCTATCTTGTGAGGATTTTCTTGTAAGTTTGCAAATTTGTATTGTTCTCTTTGGGAGGGAGTGTTCTCAAGAATTTGGGGTATAATTCTTGAGGGTTTGTAAGGTTACTCTTTGTCCTCAAAAGAAAGACAAATTAGTGAATTTGTGGAAAATCCTTAGTGTGGATAGCTAAGGTAGTGGACGTAGACTTTGGTTGAGAAAGTCAAACCACTCTAAATCGTTGTGCAAGTACTTTCAATTTTCTGCAAAAGCTTCCACCAAATTTTTAATTGCCAATTCACCCCCTCTTGGCTGATTCCGTCAATCGATTAACTCAACACCCATCTACAGTAGAATTAGAAAGTCAATAAATTAAGATAAAAAAAATTCTGTGAGTAATGTAGGAAATCCATTGTCAATTTTGGATGGAATTTTCATGGTAATCAAGGATAACATAGATTGCACTCCTCATCCAACTAAGGGTAAATAAGCTCATCAATTATTTTCTAAAAGAATGTTTCCTATTGTTTTTCCCTTTTTACTGGCAGGAAAGACAGACTAGAATATATATATTTTATGACAGGTGAGTTCGGACTGTTGAGAAGTATGGGGTTAGTGTCTCAAGATTGCAGAGCTGTGGTGTTATTCTTATTGGAAAGGCCATCATGCATGAATTTGGCTTGGGCACAACCGGAAACAATCCAAATTATGGGTAAATTTGTAGTTCTCCAGATGTATAAAAGACACATTATTCAATATGTTACTTCAGTAATGTTTTATGAGTGGTTTATATGTATCTTTTATGGCTAGAATAATTAAACACCAAATTTCTAAAACTTATCTCATATATACATTTGTGTGTGTGTGCGTGTTTAACTTGTAAATGTATTGGGGTATATAACAACCATAAACCCTCATGCACACGAAAGATATACAGGTGGATCCTCTTTTGGTCCTACAACAATTGTAGCTTCTGGACTATGTTCTGCTGCCCTAGGAACAGATGGTGGTGGTTGTAAAATTTATTACCTTTTCAAGTGTGCAACTTAAGAAATTCATAATGAGTTTATGAATTTCTGTATTGGCACTATGTGTGCAACCTAAGAAATTCCTAATGAGTTTATGAATTTTCGTATTGGCATTATGTGTGCAACCTAAGAAATTCATAATGAGTTTATGAATTTCCGTATTGGCACTATGTGTGCAACCTAAGAAATTCATAATGAGTTTATGAATTTCCATACTGGCACTATGTATGCAACCTAAGAAATTCATAATGAGTTTATGAATTTTCGTATTGGCACTATGTGTGTAACCTAAGAAATTCATAATAAGTTTATGAATTTCTGTATTGGCACTATGTGTGCAACCTAAGGAATTCATAATGAGTTTATGAATTTCCATATTGGCACTATGTGTGCAACTTAAGAAATTCATAATGAGTTTATGAATTTTTGTATTGACACTATGTGTGCAACTTAAGAAATTCATAATGAGTTTGTGAATTACCGTATTGGCACTACGTGTGCAAACTATAGAGTTTATAATGAATTGAAAGAGTTAATTGATATTATGAATAATTATTAGAATAGAAACTGTTCTAAAATGAAAGACTAAATGCCTAACTGTTGATTTGGCATAAAGGTGCCAATAATGCAAGTTAGATGAAAGGTTAAATGCCTTTGGGATGAAAGACTAAATACCTAACTGTGTTTTTTGGCAGAAAGGTGCCATTAATGCAAGATAGATGCCTAACGGTGCATTTCTGGCAGAAAGGTGCCACTAATGCAAGTTAGATGAAGAACAATGCATAATTGGTATGAAAGGATGTCACAAATGAAAATGTATATTAGTGCATAATTGACATGAAAGGATGCCACAAATGAAATAATATAACTGTGTATTAATAGTATATAAGGTGCCGCTCATGATAATTATAAAAGATAAATGACCATTTGGCACTTTGGTGAAATACATGTACATTACTTTCTCATTTAATGTACACAGGGAAAACAAAGAAAAATTGGGAAAATTTACAGAAGGATAAGTATGCTAGGCCGACTAAGAATAATTTTGATGATTGTATAAAAGAAATATGGTTTAACTGAAAATGATTTAACTGATCCTTATGGAGTATGCGATTTAATTCGTCTTTAGATAGTCATGAGATACTTATGTATAAATTTCAGATTCTTTACGATATTGTGTCTCACTAAGTAAATACTTAACGTGTGTTGATTTCACGCGTAGGTAAAAGCAAGGACTAATGGGGTACGGGGTGTAGCAGCAACTATCATCAATCTAAGGTTGACTCTCATCAGTAACAATAGGACAATCACATTTATTTTGAAAATTTACTGGCAAGTAATCGAAACTAAGAAAAATGTTTTGTAATGTATTAAAGCGATAACTTTGGTAATAAGTTTCAACAACTGATTTATTGTTGTACTAAAATGTTTTGGTTTTAAATTTCGAAACAAAATTTTATGGGTTTTACAAATGGGTGAATGTTTTTAAAAGTCATGTGCCACCTATGACTTGTGTACGGAAAAGTATACTAGAAATGGGTGTTACAGGAAAAGTATGCTAGGTTTATTGTAGTATGACAATATGACACCGTAACATAACATATCCAAACTATATGTTAGTTTTCGAACTAACATAATTTAAACTGAAAAATATAAAAGTTTATAAAATAAAAATCGATACTTAATCAATACTAAACTAAGTCATATTTTTATCAAAATTTCAAACTTCTCAAAATACTCTTTAATTCCCAACAATATTTGTTTCCAACTTTAATCCCTCGACTTTTGCCAATTACACAATCAAGCCACTATATTTGAATTATTTATAGAATTCACCTTAACTTTTACATTAAATTCATAATAGCCCTTCACTATTATGATCATTTCATATTAGTTACATAAAATTTTCAGCACCTTAACAAAATATTCAAATCAACACTTAAACATTCAAAATCTTGCAATTTCATCCTAAACTTTCTTAGGCCTTTTGAATTCAACCATTAACCTTATAAACTTGCAATTTAATCCCAACTTAATACAAACTCAAAAATCAACAAGCTTCTAAAATTTCTAGAATTGTTCAAATTTACCCAAATGATAGTTTCATATTTAAAAAAACTTGCAATCAAGTCCCTATATTTTTAGGACCTTTCAAATTCTACCCCTAAATTCTTCCAAATTTGCAATTTGGTTCCAAACAACTTTGCAACTTAAATTTCCAGCATTTCAAATATTAAAAATCAGCAATAAACCTCCATATATCACATTCTTATAATAATGTCCCACAACTCTCAAACTTGTAATCTAGCCCTTTTTCTTTATCAAGATTCCTAATTGATCCAAGCTAATCTCCAAATCACCTAGAACACTTCTAATATCATTTCTAAACCATAGGAAAATTTTCAAGAATTTTCCCCCAACTTCTTCCCTATGGCCGAATATTTTAAGTAAATATAATATGGACTTTTTGTTCAATTTAAAGCATAAATTCAACCTCCTATGATAAAATTCATGCTATTCCAATCCTCACAACATCAAATTAAATCAAAATTCAAGCATTCTCACAAACGCTAGGTATGGTCGAATACTTTAAATCACTATACAATTGATTTTAAACATCACACAAGCTTGAAAATTAATCTTCAGCATCAAAACATAAAAAAATCTTTAATCAATTCTTCAAAACCACAAAACCCTACATAAACACTAACTTCCAATCTCAACACACAAGCATCTTCACTATGCAATATTTATATCAAATGATAGAGAATTTTATGTAGGTTAATTATCTACCTAATAGTTTAATCTAAAAAATCAAGTTTATGGCTTCAAAAATCAAAAATAAAATCTTACCTTGGTAAGCTTGGTGGTTTCGACCTCAAGGAGAAAAATGGATGAAGATTTGTTGATTTACCTTGATTATTGTAGTATTTAATAACTAATACAATTGACATTCAACTAATATAATTTAATTTAAAATTCAATTAATGAGAATTTTAAAAAATACCATTAATGAAACTTGGAAATTACCAAATTCCATTGCATTATTTTCCATTAAAATATTCATTGGTCAAAGATGAATCAACTTGGCTTTGACTTTCTAATTTAACCATGTAAGTTTTAAAAATTACATTTTAGTCACTAAAATTCCCCTGTTCGACCCAAACAAAAAAAGTGCACTATTATGTGTTGAATTTCTCCGATCTAAAACATGGAAATAATATTTCCAATCCATTATCTAACATCCTTCAAATTTTTGTAAAATTTTGGTTCGATCCGATTATCCGATTTCATTATCGAACTTTATTGCTTTATAGCTTTTAACACAAATCTCATACCGAATATATGATTCACACAAAAACCTTGTTTTGGGCCAAACTATTTATTTATGACTTAAATATATATAACTTTTTAAAATTACATTTTTGGTCCCTAAACTTTTACAAAGTTTATACTTTTATCGCTAAACTTTTTTAACTTACATTTTAGTCACTAGACAAAATTTGGGGTGTTACATGGTGGCATCATTCCCAAAACTTCATAGATAATACCGATGGGGTAATAATCGTTTCGCCTCACAATGGCGGCACCATTCACCGGAACACCAAGTTGGTAAGTGACGTTTTCCAAAGTAATCATCGCTTCACAACTCGAGAAATGGAAAGTGAGCGTCTCAGGCCTCAACGTTCAGTCAGAGCCAAAATTAATGTTGGGTTAACCTTAAATCCATGTAAAATATGGTTGGATATAAACTGGATTGTTGAAGATTTATCATAATCCGCTAATACGGATATCTCGAAGTCATTTCGTGTCGATGGGTGTTTCGTTCTTCTTCGGATGAAGTTCGAACGGTAAAATATGAACATTATTGAAGCGTAACATTTCTTCTCGGGAAGTCATTTTTCAAGATTTATTCCGAATCTTTTTCTCATCATTTATCATTTATTCATATAGATCCTCAAATTTTAAATCTTTCCAATAAAGTTATTGACCTGGTATTTGGGGTATTATAGATCCAAATGACCCGAAAGGAAAGGACAAAGCACGTGAGTAAAAATATCATGTATAAAGGTTCGGTAGCGAGGCAAACGTGAGTGTAGTTTATTTATTTAATTGTCTTGATTGAGGATAACTTGCGATAAGTCAACCTCATATTATTTTTCAAGCATGTTTCTACTTTAATTATTGATTATTTCCATAATGATTATATAAATGTTTTATGAATAATTTAGGGTATGAATTGCCCAATTATAAGTTTTATAAAAATGAATATTAAATGTTTATGATTTTCAGACGTTGATTAATAAATGATTATATTATGAATTAAAAGCCCATTGTATGTTGCATTGAGAGTCGTAGGTACATTTGACATGCCATTAAGTTGAGTACTTTTTAGCTATCAGTTCATCTATGGTACATTCGTGTACCCTATTATCAGTATCATTGGTGCACAGGTTATGATTGCACTGAAGTGCATCATATCTCAGTTTCAGTTATGAGTCACACCGTGATGTCCTAGTGCGCACCTTACTCATGTACCTTGTGCTCTCATAAGTATACATTAGACTATGGAAATGAATATGAAAGTTTTATATAGCTTTAAGTCGACAAAAAGCATGTTATGATTATCTTATCAGATATTGTTTATCAGAATTTCATGAGTTCATGAAATAAGATGAATTTCAGGTTACAATTAAGAAATTGACTTAGATAAGTCGATTTATCAGTTTAATGTTTTATTTAAATTATTTTATTTATATTTATGATCTTGTCATATTTTGTATCACCTTAGTTTATTACTGCCTCATTAAGTTATACTTGGCGCATGATGATTTTCATGCGTAGGTTCTGATAGAAATAAGAATGAGCAGTGAGGAGCCTCCCGAGCATCTTTTTGAAAGTCACATCTATTATCAGTATTAGTAAGATATCTTTGATGTTATTTTTTATTAGCAGTGGCATGTATATTTATATTATAGGTTTGCTTTATCAGTTTTATTTAATTGGTATGTAATAGTAAACTAGGACTGTTTTCCTTTGAATAGTTTAGTTTTATCAGTATTTTGCAAGAGAAAAATACATATATTTTATATATTTTAATATGCTTCAGAAACTCAGGTAGTTTTAAATAGTTTTCGGTAACATACTAAACTGTCTAATTATTGAATGAAAATATATGTATTTTCTAGGACAAAATATTAATTTATAATTTCATGTTAATAAGAAAATAGTTTTAAAGTTGAAATATGATTTTTTTTAAATGAAACACAATTTTAAGCATTTTAGTTCAGGGAAAATCTGTTAAGTTGATGTAACATCCATGGCTCATATTTCAAGATGTATACAGGTTATTGGTGTTACATTTATTGGTATTATAATGACAGATTTAGTCTATTCTCAGCCTAAACCAAGCATATGTTATGTCGGAAATATGTGCATGCCACTAGGATGTTTAAATTACTGATATGGTATGGTTTGATGATTTTATTTATGATGTTGCTCCATATTAACGTAATGTTATGTGATTGTTTTTTAGATTTCATATTCAGAGGGCCTAGATGAGCTACCAAACATGAGGTTCCAGAGAGAATCGATAGTAGGAGTAGTAATGAGGTTTGTCACGCACCTCAATAGTAGGGAGCGTAGGCACATTCGGGGGTGCCGACTACAGATTAGGGGACGTTTTTACAAGTGCTAGAGGCTATCTTGGTGAAATATTAGCCAGCAGTAGTACATCCCCCTCCTTCGTCTCCACCACCTCCTCCAGCATTGAGAATATCAGTTTTGAATAAATTAAAGAGTTTGAGAGCTGCTAAATTTACGGCTAATATGTTGTTAAACAATGTTAAAATCGAATTAGACAATCTTCACTGCTCAGATGCGGAAATACTGGAGGGTGTAGTTTTAATGTTTTGAGGTTAGGCTCGTATATGGTGGACGAACGTGACTACACGTGTTTCAGTT